ATGATAGATATTTTTTCCCATCTTCCATCTTATTCACTAGATAGGATATGGATAACTTCTCTTAAGATGTTTTCCTTGGTTTTCTGTCACTAGCACAGATTCCTTAGGACCCCCAAATTAATTCTTTCCTTCCCTGTTACTACTTTTATCAATGTGCAATGTCCAGAACTTTTCCATAAACTCTAGATCTATCTGTACACGGAAGCTGCCTACTCAACATCTACAACTGGATGTCTGAATCTTAACATAATACGTGAGGTTGATGATCCTGATGCCATCTCATTTGCCCCCAGACCTCTTGCTATTCTAATGGCTTTCCCAAGTTCAATTAATGGCCAACTCCATTTTTATAGCTGTATTAAGACAAAAGCTTAAAGTCACACTTGACTTCTCTCTCTTTCCCATTCTCAGCAAATCCTGTTTGCTCTATATTTAAAATATATCTAGAATAGAACAACTTCTTTCTACCTCTACTGCCACCATCCTGGCCTACAACAGTTAATTTTATGTGTCAGCTTGGCTGGGCTATGGTACTCAGATGTCTGTTCAAACATTCAAGAAGTTTCTGTGAAGGTGTTTCTGGATGAGACTGACATTTAAATCAGGGACTCTGAGTAGAGTATGTTACCCTCCATAATGTGAGTGGGCCACATCTAATCAGTTGGAGGCCTTAATAGGACAAAGACTGGCCTCTCCTAAGAAAGAGGGAACTCTGCGAGCAGAATGCCTTCATTCCAGCTGCCAACTCTTCCCTGAGTCTCTAGCCGGCTGACTACACCATCAAATTTTGAACTCAAGAAGTCTCCACATTGTGGGATCCCTGGGTGGTGCAGCGGTTTAGCGCCTGCCTTTGGCCCAGGGCGCGATCCTGGAGACCCGGGATGGAATCCCACGTCGGGCTCCCGGTGCTTCTCCCTCTGCCTGTGTCTCTGCCTCTCTCTCTCTCTCTCTCTCTCTGTGACTATCATAAATAAATAAAAATTAAAAAAAAAAAAGAAGTCTCCACATTGTGAGATGGTTCCTTAAAAATAGATCTTTCTCTATATACATCATGTAGGTTCTGTTTCTCTGTATAAATCTAATACATGGTCCAAACCATTGTTAACTCTCACCCAGATGATTGAAATGATCTCCTGGGTTGATTTTCTGCTTTCACTCTTGTGCCTGCTCTCATTCTAAAGCCTGTTCTCAACTACCAGCCAGAGTGATCCTCTTAAATCTAATTGAGATCTTATCAGTCCTCTACAGAGGCCCTCAGTGGCTTCCCTACGTCACTCAAGCAAAACCCCAAATTCTTCACAGTCACCTGCAAGGCCCTACATGATTTTGCCACCTTCCACCTCCTTTCTTTAACTTCTATTTTCCTTTTCCCTTTTTCACTCCTCACTATTACCTGAACATACCAGGCAGCTCCAAATTTGAGGCCCTTGTTATTACCTCTCCCTAAAATTTTCTTTTCTCACATAACCATACAGCTAGTTCTCTTAACTGTCTTTAAATCTTTACTCAAAAATCATCTTAGGGAGATCTTCTCTGTCACACTATCTAAAACTTCTACTTAGGGGATCCCTGGATGGCTTGGCAGTTTGGTGCCTGCCCTCGGCCCAGGGCATGGTCCTGGGGACCCGGGATAGAGTCCCGCATTGGGCTCCCTGCGTGGAGCCTGCTTCTCCCTCCGCCTGTGTCTCTGCCTCTCTCTCTCTCTCTCTCTCTCTCTCTCTCTCTCTCTCTCTGTGTCTCTCATGAATAAATAAATAAAATCTTAAAAATAAAAAAATAAAATAAAACTTATACTTCCTTACTCTTTTGTCTCATCTTCTTTCTCTTTCATGGGTTTCTTCCCCCCTTAATACAACTCATTCTCACAGACTATAGGAGGTTTTATTTCTTATTCTTGTTTCTTATTATTACTCATCCCCCCCACCCCCATGTAAGCTCAATGAAGGCAGGGAACTTTATTTGCTTTGTTTTTGCTTTAAGACAGGTTTTTTTTTTTTTTAGATTCTAGAACAAGCTTGGCACATTGTGTGTATTCAATATACACTTTTTTTCCTTTTTTTTCAAGTTTTTATTTAAATTTCAGTTAGTTAACATACTCAATACACATGTAAGTGAAAGGAAAAAAACCCCTCAAAAGCCTTTAGTTGTACTTCACTGCTTTTTGATTCTCTAACATAAGGCTCCCATTTCTTTTTTTTCTGATCTCACATCTGTTGCCTTGCTATGCATTCAGGCTCAATGACTCATCACTTTTAACTTGTAGCCTGAAGGTCTACACTGATTTCTGAAACTCAGCTTGGTCAAGTCTGCCAAGTTTGTCTTATTACCCTCCTCAAGGACAGGTTGAATTCTTGATTGTCCTAGAACAAAAACTTCCTAAACTTAATGACAGTAAGTGAAGAATGATACCAAATTATGTTCAGAAATAATTTTTCTATTCTTCTTAGTATCAAACTTACCTCCTTTACTCGCTGTAAATACATCAAGCCTTATATAAATTGTACTATTTATGAAAAGACTGCTTATTGTTCTTTTTCCATATCATGTGTTTGTTTTATAATAAACAATAAACAATAAAATGGAATGCCTTATCTGATTAGTATGGTTAGTAGAATAAATAACCAGTCCAATATCAAGTACTACTTGTATAGGATTATAGTGGAAATGAAGGGACAACATATGTGTTATATTTAAAATACAGGTCTTTAGATTTTAAAAAGTGGCTAAAAAACAGTTTAGAATATCTTATGAGACTTGAACAACTGAAGGTTAATAAAAAGAAGACTGAAACAGAGAAACGGACAGGCAGACATTACACATATGTATTTTAGATGTTTGTTTTTTAGATGACACAACGAATGGAAAGATATTCCATGCTCATGGATTGGAAAAACAAATACTGTTAAAATGTCCACACTACCCAAAGAAAGCTACAGATTTAATGTAATCCTTATTAAAATACCAATAGCAGAACTAGAGCAAACAATCCTAAAATTTGTATGGAACTACAAAAAACCCCAAAGAGCCAAAGCAATCTTGAAAAGACGAACAAAATTGGAGGTATCACAATCCTAGATTTCAAGATAGACTACAAAGCTGTAGTAGTCAAAATGTATAGTACTGGCACAAAAATAGACACATGGATCAATGGAACAGAATAGAGAGCCCAGAAATAAACACACAATAGTATGGTCAATCAATCTCTGAAAAAGCAGGAAAGACTATCTCCTAGAAAAAAGACAGTCTCTTCAACAAATGGTGTTGAGAAAATTAGACAGCTACATGCAAAAGAATGAAAGAGGATCATATTCTTACACTATACATAAAACAACTCAAAATGGATTAAGAACCTAAACGTAAGGCCTAAAATCATGAAAATCCTAGAAGAGAACACAGCGGTAATTTCTTTCACCTCAGCCACAGTAACACTTTTTTAGATATGTCTCCTGAGGCAAGGGAAACAACAAAAATAAACTATTGGGATAAAACCAAAATAAAAAGCTTCTGCACAGCAAAAGAAGCAATCAACAAAACTAAAAGATAACCTACTGAATGGGAGAAGATATTTGCACATGACATATCTGATAAAGGGTTAGTATCTATAATATATAAAGAACTGATACAACTCAATACCCCAAAAAATTTAAAAACGGGCATGAACAGACAATTCTCCAAAGAAGACATTCAGATGGCCAACAGACACATGAAAAGATGCTCAAATCACTAATCAGGGAAATGCAAATCAAAACTACAATGAGCTATCACCTTACACCTGCCAGAATGGCTAAAATAAAAAACACAAGAAACAACAAGTGTTGTAAGGATGTGGTGAAAAAGGAACCCTCATGCACTACTGGTGGGAATGCAAACTGGTGCAGCCACTGTGGAAAACAGCATGAAGGTTCCTCAAAAAATTAAACATAGAACTACCATAAGAGCCAGTAATTCTATTACTGGGTATTTACCCAAAAAATACAAAAAACTCATCTGAAAAGAATACATGTACCTCTATATGTTTATTACAGCATTATTTACCATAGCCAAACTATGGAAGCAGCCCAAGTGTCCACTGATAGATGAATGGAAAGGAAATGTAGTACACATACACAATGGAATATTATTCAGCCATAAGAAAGAATGAAATCTTGCCATTTGCAACAACATGGATGGAATATAGAGTATAATCTTAAGTGAAATGTCAGAGAAAGACAACCTATGATTTCACTTATATGTAGAATAAGAAAAGAAAAGAAAAGAAAAAAGAACAGAAAAGAAAAGAAAAAAAGAAAAGAAAAAAAACAGATGAATAAAAAAATAACAAGGCTCTCAACTACAGAGAACAACCAGAAGAGAGGTAAGGGGGAGGTTTAAATAAGTGAAGGGGATTAAGAGTCCACTTACCATGATAAACACTAACATATAGCACTGTTGAATCACTATATTGTACACCTAAAACTAATATAACACCCTATGTTAATTATACTGGATTTAAAAGTTTTTAAAAAAAGATTTGATTTATTTAAGAGAGAGAGAGAGTGTGAGTGTGTGAGCCAGTGTGAGCAGACAAGGGGCAGGCAGACGGGGAGGGAGAGGGACAAGCGGACTCTGCACTGAACTTGGAACTCGAGGCAGGGCTTGATCTCAGAATCCTGACATGACCTGAGCCGAAACCAACAGTCAGATGCTTAACTGACTGAGCCACCCAGACACCTAAAACTAAGTATTTTAATTGAGCCAAATTTTTATAACTAAAGTTAATATTAGTTTGAATTGTATTGCTTCAGTTAATAATTACTGTATTCATTTATCTTGCTATGATTTATTCATTTATTTATTCACAAAACATTTATTATCCACTGTGTATAGATATAAGAGCTAAAAAATATTAAAACATGGGCCTTCTTTGTGATAAGTAGATACATAAACAAAATTTAATACAGTGTGATAAATACTATGATAAAGTATGAATAAAGTTCAGAGAAAGTATAATATCTACTTACATTAAAAAGTTGTTTTTTAGCATATGTTCTAATCTTTCCTTGGTAAGAAAAGAGAAAAAAATTATTAAATGTAATTATATTTATTATATGTAACTAACATATTTAAAGAGTATATGTATTAGACTTTACCCACCAAACTAATTACCTTTTGGCCAGGAGCTATGAACTTGTGACAGAGTTCAACATCTTCAGGACAGTTTGAGAGAACCATCATTGTTGCAGTCTTAAAGAGCCCCTCCATAACCTAAGAGAAATGAGAGAATTGTCTGACTAGTAAGCTATTTTATATGAAAAACCTATTTAGAGTCTTGTAAGGACTGCTCTCCAGGTTTTAGCAGCTATAAACCCATTAGGCCTCTTAATCTCCAGATATACTGCTGCAAGTTAGTTCAGTTTTCCAGATTGATTAGGGGAGGCGGTGCATCTTCTTCCCAGAGTGGGTAAAAAAAAAAAAAGAAAGAAAGAAAAATGTACGAATCTGTTGTTAATAGTTTCAATAGTAGTACTGAAGTGGGATGTTAAATAAACAGCCAAAACTGACTAATGCCTCTCAAAACTGCAATATAGTCACTTGTAGAATCAGGACAATAACAGTACCTAGCTTCCCAGGATTGTTGTGATAATTAAATGAAATAATCCATGTATAAGACTTAGCTTTAGTACCTGGCTCAGACCAGGACACAACAAACATTACCTGTTGCAAAGAATGAGACACTTTGAAAAGTGCTTCATTCAGTCACTGGTAAATGAAAGTTGACTTTAAAATTAAAGGAGCAATGAGATAGATCTACATCTAAATATGTATATTTTTGCTTTGCTAAAGCATACAGTAAAATATTACACAAATCATGATCCAACACAAATCAGTATGCCAGAATGCATTCTACCAGGGATTATCCATACACAACCCACAAAAAAAAATAAAAAAAAACTTGTTAGAAGAAAGTAAGTGATTGGAATGGAAAATATTTCTAATCAAAACTAAAATTTTTGGTTTGAAGTCAGTGAGATCCTCTTAGGCCCTCCTAAATATTGTACTCAGAAAGATAGACACACTCGGTAAGTACAAGTTGCCCCAGAGGCAGGGGTTTTCCCTTCCTCTCCTGCATCCCTGGTGTACCCTATCAAGTCTGGAGACACAGGGTGGAGCGCAAGCATCTACTGCACTAACTTAGTATAACCAGATACAGCAATGTACTTAATTATCAAGGAACATCCAGGCACATTTGTGGCCTGGATATATATATATATATATATATATATATACACACACACACACACACATACACATAGTATTTATATTTATTTTTATATATTTTGTATTTTCATATTCACATATATATTTTGTGTAGGAGTAAGGAATAACCTGATGAAAGAAGAGCAAAGGGAGGCCAAAAAATCTTTTACCTCGAGGCTATATTACCTTTGATCTGAGAGTCATGAGACAAATCACTAAATAACTGAATGATTTATGAAGGGTCATATCCTCAATCACTAAAAAAAGCTGACACATTTGGGGAGCAAACAAAAACAAGAAGATTTGGATACTAAGCCGGCACTGTTAGGGGCACAACACACGTATCTGTAAGATGAAGACTTTGACCACTGGGGTTGTTAAACTGGTATCTTTCATATGAACAGTAAATTTCCATTTGAAGAAGAAAATCATTGGCTTCTCTAACCTTGACTTTTAGACTATGCTCTATAAATATATTTGAAGAAAACAGAAACTTAACTGAAGGGTTAGCATAACCTTCAGATGTTTTAAAAAATATATTACTCAATGGCACTAAAATAGTAATATTTAATTGTTTATACGTTATGAGGGGAAAAATACTTTGTCATAAGATTCTGATTTAATATTTTCATCAAGATAATTTCCACAGAATGTAATTTATAGAAGGGAGAAAATTAAGAGAAGCAGATTACTTTTGGGAGGAGCATACCTTTTTTCTGCTTTTAAGAAAAAGTTTGTATTTCAATTAATTAAAAATCATTGAACAGTATATGCTGAGTACCACTCGATGGAATACTAAATACAAATTTTTTAGTTATAGAATATGTAATTATAATGTTTAATAAATTCTAACATAATTTGTGTCTTTGGAAATTTTCTCTGGTATTTACCTTGGGGCAGGAGAGACAGGGTCAAGGCAGAAACAGGAAGGTAAAGGTTCATTGCCTAAGTGAATGAGTAATATTGAACTGGATGGTGGGCTGGTACCAAAAGCTGCTTAAAGAATTTTACTAACTCCTTGTGAGGCTCAGATCCTGAATCCCCACATTTTAGAAAAGAATTGCTTGACAGTGTTACTATTGTCATTTTTGGCTGAGTAACTCTTTGTTGAGGGGGGAGGGACCTGTGCATTTTAGCATATTGAAAGCATCCCTAGTCTTTACCCACTAGATGCTAGTAGCAACCACTCTCCCCTCTCCTCCATCCACTTCCTAGTTGGGACAACCAAAAATGTCCCCTGGGGGACACTGATCTAGAATAATCAGGGGGAGATGTTAAAGGGTATATAAATGCAAACTGTAGTGTGGGTTCAGAACACCCTTTCAGGACCAAGAGCTTTATCCACTGGGAATATTAATTGCTGATGGCTCCTGATTGAGTTCCTCTTCAGGAAGTGGCCAGGCCAAGAGTGCTATCTTACCCAAGAATATGCCTCTTCCCAAGGCTGGCCCATGTCAGGTAACTGCTTGCTGGGGGAAGAACAAAGACCTTCTCCCTTCCCCCTTGTCTTTCTATGGGACAACGATGAAGGACCATTCCAGATCCAAAATTCCTCAAAGAATGAGCTAAGGCCTCTGTACATTCATCATAGTTCAACTTTTCTATCATGCTGCTTTCTTCCTTTCCTTACAGATGTTATTCTCTAGAGAATTCCCCAATATCCCCCCAACCCCCAAATCTCTGCTTTAGAGTTTACTAGGAAATCCAACCAAGACAGGATAATAAAATATTAAGTCCATTCTAGTTGATGATATATGTGGTATTTATGTTTTAAGTGGAATTGGGTCATTTACCAGGTAAGAGTAGAAAGATACAAAAGGAATAGAAGTGAGAGGTGATGAAAATTGTTAAAATAAACATCCTGTGATTCAAACACAAACTAAGATATTAATGGTACTGGATGGAGAATTCCTAATAACAGCCAATAATTTCTGGGTACAAAGTGCCATAAACTGTTCTTTGTGATATATATATATATATATATATATATATATATATATATGGCAATCATCTCCCAATAATCTTATAGAATATATATGTATATATAATATATATGTATATATTATATATATATATATATATATTCTGTATAATCCTCCAAACTACTCTATAAAGTAGGAACTATTATTCTTATTTTCCTTGTCTGAGGTCACATAGCAAATAACTGGTGAAGCTAAAAAATTCCTGGTCCATCCAACTTCAGAGTTTCTGTGCTCTATCTGGATTATGGCCCCAGCTTCCTAAAGGATTCTCACCCTATTTTTATCCCCCTCTGAATCATTTTTTATATTGTTACTAGAGAGATGTTTTTAAACTATAATCAAGCATAGCCTTTCCCAATTGAGAACTCTTTTACTTTCTAAACTACTTAGCATGACATTTACAAAGTCTTTCTTTCAAGATCTGACTCTTGACTATCTTTCTGGCCTTACTTCTTGCCCCCAAAACAGAGCTCTGATGGTTCCTGTAGATTCTATAGCTATGTAGATGTTTCTCTAACTATAAAGATGTTTCATTTATTTGCATAACAAATTATAAGAGCTACTATTTACTGAGCTTGCTATATGCCAGGCCCAATAGTAGATGCTTTACATTATACATACATTATTTCATTTACTCCTCCCAATAATCTTATAAAATAGTTACTATTATTTTAATTTTATAGTTGAGAAAGCTAAAGATCACCAATATTCAGTAACACCCAAACAAAAGTAATGGCAGAGTTGGGATATGAATTTAAATCTGACTCTTATACTTTAAAGGGATTCAGTAGATGTTTATCACATTAAGTAGTTCTCCATCTTCTTCACTCCACTAACACCTGTAACGCACAGATGTCCAAGGTAAAAATGTATACAGAAGCATTTTAATGTCATAGATATCTGTTATGACAGTATTATGTACCTACCTGCATGAGATCTTGAAGACTCTCAACAAAAGAAATCTCTGCTTCTACCATATAAAACTCTGCCAGGTGTCTCCGGCTCTGAGAATTCTCTGCTCGAAATGTTGGACCAAAGGTAAACACTTGAGTAAAAGCTCTGCAATTCAAGATTAAAAATATAAAAATAGGATTCACATGATTAACCTTAAGTATTTAAAACTCAGTACACTCCTAAGGAAAAAAAAAAGTTTTGTGCCTTTGTCTTGTCCACAAATCTGCACATATTAGCTGCTATATTTCTCTAATGGGTGATAATAATAGTTTCATTAAAAATGTTACATTTATAGAAACCATTTTATCCCAAAGGAATTTGCAAATGCTTTACAACCCTATGGCTTACTAAATATAGAATTATAACCACTTCTGGGTGCACTCTACTGCAGCTGCCTTAAACAGCAGGCAACTACATTTCACAGCAATCAAGAACAAAGTAAAGGAAAAATACCACAGCCCGACAAGCTTCACAGAGAATCTATACAGTAACAGTTAAAACTAGAATTTCACATGGATAGAGTATGCTAATTATTTTTTTAAAATATGTGGGAAAGGAGTGTCAGATGTGTATGATGATTTGCCTTGTTTGAAGCCTACTTGAGTCCTTCACAACCAGCCAAGTGTTTTAATGAATGCTGAAACTTGAAGGTGAGGATGGATTTTGAAGAACTGTCTACTTTATTCTGTCGTGTTCAAGAGAATAGTTCATAGCTCTACAATCCAAATAGTGAAGGAAAATCTTCCTTTTCAATTTCTGCAGAAAAGCAGATACCACATCTTTGTTCTTGAACACTTATCATCTCCCTCCTTTGGAATCAGGGCACCAACTGGGATTAGATCAAACATAAATGAAATAATGAGTATTTCCTGAGGACTATCTAAACTTTGAATTTTAAGGTTTTGTTAGAACAAAACAAGAGGTTTGGGGCTCCTGAGCTATTATCCTGAGCACTCTTCATTTGACTGGCATCAGTCAAATTACATTAAGATCAGAAAACAGTGCAGAAAACAGATTGTGGATATATATACCAGTTGGGCTTTATATTGTTGTTAAGTAAAGATACTTTGGGAAATGAAACAGTAAAACAATGATAGTGGAAATCAAGAGATTTGTTTTTTCTTTCAAAAGGCTATTTTAGTTAAGGCCTAGTTGGTAAGAAGCTTAGGAATTTATGTTTTGGTTCTACAGCCACCTTCCTGAGACCATAATCAGTTAACCTCTGAGAACTTTAGTTTTTAATGGAAAAATAAACAATATGAACTCAAAAATATTACTATGGTAACTTCTCTGCTGAGATTCAGATCCAGACGTGTCTGCTAGAATGTTCCTGAAAACACTGACCTACGTTATGCAGAATGAAAACCCTAGTCTGCTCCCAAAACAAACAAAAAACAAAACAAGAAACAATCCGTCTTTTCCTTTTTCATTTTTTCCCAGTTCTATTATATTCAGTTACGCTATGCCATCACCCAAACCAGGTCTTCCACTGCTCACACTTTCCATATCATGTTGATCACAAAATCATATTGTTTACACATAGGAAAACTCTCTCAAATCTAGAGATTTTTTTTTTAATCTACACAAGTATGGTCTTACTGTAAACTCTTGTGTTTTGCTTAGAGAACTACAGCAACTTTTTACCTGGTGCCTGCCACTTGTCTTTCTTCCTGTAGCCCTAAACTATTAATAGTTTTTAAACTCAAGTCTGATTTTATCAGCCATAATTCAAAAGTCTTCAATGACTTCCTACTGCTCAAATGATAAACTTCAAACTCCTAACTTTGACTCACTTTCCTTCATATTTCTCTAGTTACACTGAAGATACTCCCCTCACACAGCTTGCCAGGATAAGCCTTTAGGCCTTTGCTAGGCTGCTCCTTGCCTCTAATTACCATTCCTAGCTTCTCTCTTTCCAAATGGCAAATTCTCATCTATCCTTCAAGACTTGGCTCAAATGCCATCTTCTTTTTGTAACCTTACCATACACCCCCAAATTTACTGTTCTCTCCTTTATATGACTATGACATTTTGTTCGTATATTCATTATATATTCTGTATCACTTTGAAATGCAATTATATACGTCTGTATCTTTCTCCCCCCCCATAAACTATGAAATTTTCCAGAGCAGGAATCATGTTTTATTCATACTTAGATCTCCAGTGCCTAAGATAAAACAGGTGCTCATGCTGAATGAATGAGTACTAATGATGATGACAGGCTTCCTCAGTTGTAAACTGGAAAAGTACAGCATCCTCACAAACAGTAACATTACAAATAACGTACAGAAAAAATACTCAGATATGTTTTACGGTGGCTGTTACTTAGAACCTAAAATAGGTCAAACAACCTACGCCTGTCCCAAACAATAAATTAAAAAATTATAAGGCCCTGAGATTCCAATCTGTGACTATGCTATCTTTAGGTAGGTTGGCAATAGTATATCTACATAAATGAATTGACATTTCTGGGACTGCATTACAAAAAATTGTATATACAGATGTTCACTAACAACAAGATATTTTTTATTGAGATTTTCCTGGGCAAAATCAGAAACTAGCGGGGCATAGGTGAAATTTACTTAGGGGGCTCTGAGGGAGGCTTTCAAGAAATGGACAGTGATCTTCCTGAAATACAAGAAAAGCCAATGAGCCTGCTGTTTAAAAGAGATATTTATATTAAGAAACCAGTTACAGAGAAAACAGTGGTTTCTAAAAAGAACTATAAATTCAAGTCACAAAACCATCTGCTTCTCACATGGCCATTCTATGTAGGGTGCTCAAAGATGAGTAGCAATAGGGATGTTTAGTTTCACAATGGGTAGTAATTTTTTCTAAGCAATGCAAGGTAAGCTCTCTAGTATAAAATAATGAGGGTCAGAGATTTTCATTTTAAGAATTGGGCTCTGACTGAGGTATCCAAGAGTTAAGTATTATTGTAATAGGATAAGTAAAAACTGAAGGCCATGGTGCTTCCTCTGAATTAATAAAAAGATAAAATGAACTGAAAAGTATGTTAAAAACATTCCTAATTCAGCATCTGGTCTTTAAACAGATGAATATTTAAAGCATCTGATAATGAACATCGTATGCCAGTGCCCAGTATTCTATGATAAAGCAGAGATAGCATTTGTAGTAGCAGAGATGGTCACTCCATCAGAAGTGCTCCTCATGCGCCAGGCATGAGTTGTGAGAACCTCAAAGTTAACTCCTTTAAAGTTAACTCAATTAAGTATGTATTGTTACTTCTATTTCTCAGGCTAAGACATGGAAATTCAGAGAGGCTAAGAAGTTTTCTTCCCCCAAGGTACAGAGTCACAGCCCAGTAAGTGTAGAGGCCATATTCAAATCCAGATCTTACTCTAGTGGTCACAGTCTTTATATCATGATATGAAAATACTGATGTTCATAACTGAACACTGACAAAACTGGGGAATTAGAAAACTTTGTAATGTACCTTCCACTGTTCTCAAAGACAGGGCATAATTACCTTCTTTATGAATAGCTTATTTGTTTTATGTGTTAAAATTATAGCTCACTAAGGGGATACTGCCTTCATGTAAATAATGAGAATGATAAATTTTCACCAATATTTTATAACCTTGAGCGAGTCACTTAGCCTTTCTGGTTTTCAAATTCTTACATGAGTGGGAGACGAGGGCAGCTTGGCATTAATCTCTAGTGTCTTTTACAACAATTTTGTTCGTAGGCCCGTGTGAATTCGTTCTTATTTTAATTTATGCCGACTTCTTCTTTTCTGTCTTCCACAGACATGAAAGCCATTTGCAGCAAGGCTTGGACTAACCAATATTTAAAATAAGATCTGAGAACAAGGCCACTTCTAAAATAAGATAGAAAACCAGGTGAAAGGCCAGTACTGCTGTGAGAAGCAACCAGCAGAAAAAGAAAACACTCAGCACTAAAAAGCATTCTTGTGCCAGATTATGGAGAGAGGCAAACTATATAAGGAAAGTCCATGAGCTTGGAGTTGATGTTTAAGATAACAAAAGTACATTCAACACACATCAACCAAGTTAATTACAAAAATGGCTTTTTAAAATAAATAAAGTTACTCCCACCCAAAAGTTCTACAAAGGTCATTTTATTCCTTCAGTGGAGTTTTATGAAGCTCTAAACTGGCAAATGGATTACTATAAAACGGTCACTTATTGGCCATTTATTCTTTCTGGCCCTTAAATTCAAGAGCTAATCTTTCTATTTTGAAAGAGTAGAGGAATTACTGTTCTTTAGCTGGAGAAGAACTTACTCAGCATAAGGTGGATCAGCAACTTTCCCTCACTCCCAACTTCCTATCACTCCTCTGCTGTCAGTTCAGTAAACATTCATTGAACTGAATTGAACTCACAGCTCTAAATTACCTTTTGAAACAGTCTTTGTCCAGTGGCATTCCCCTCTTTTGGAAAATAATCATTTTTTTCCCACTGCTTTGAATCCACTGGATTATCAATACTGTCACATACTTGTCATTATTTCTATAAAGCAAACTCCAGGCATCTCCTTTTTGGCTCTTCCCTATTCCTCTAACCATCCTACAAATGTTTGGTGGAAGGGGATAAGACATAGCTCTCACCATTTCAACAATTCATGTCAAGATGCCTTAAGGAGGATACATCTACAATCTAAAACTTATTCTCTACCATCATTGCTCAGCATTTCTGAAAAACTAATTTTTTTTAACATGGTCTAAATATTTGATCTGGAACATGGAGTTTGAGGCCCAAACAAAATTTAATCTTAACTGTATAATGAGATTTGAAGATTAATAGAGTCTGACAACAATCCTGCTAAAGGAGTGGAGGCTTGGCTACTCTTCTCTGAGAAGATAAAATGTGAACCGGGGGAAAGACATTTCAGAACAGGGAATAAGAAGCACACAGGCTCTAGGGTAGGAATGAACCTGACATGTTTAAAGAACAAAAGTAGGTCAGCATTAAGGTGAATGGTCAGAGGTCAATGAGGTGGGAAGGGATTATTAGGGTACTCCTTGTAAGCCATGGTAATAACCCTATTATTACCATGAATCTTTGATTTCCTTTGATTCTCCTTGGAAGATTCTCTCCTCTTGAAATATTTAACACTGTTGT